CATAAATGATACCCACCAGCACCTGAAAACAACCGAAGTGAAAAAGATCATAAATGATACCCACCAGCACCTGAAAACAACCGAAGTGAAAAAGAAAAGGGAAAAGAGAAAGAAAACAAGAACAGAAAACGATGACCAAAACGCCCCCCGCCATAAAAAAAGACCCTGCGGCCTGCCGACTTTCGCAACACAGGCCACCAGGGTCTCAAGTGCGAGTGTCACACGCAACCCACTATCTATATTCTATACGCCTTGTAAAGCGAGCAGAGGGCCTCGGCTGACGGACCCCCCCGGGCCCAGCAGTAACCGCTGCTTGTGTGGGACCGTTGCTGGCTGGTCCAATGTCCGTGGGCACGTCTCCCTCTTTCTTTTTTCCGCGCTCAGGGTAGCCGAAAAATGTGCAACGGGCTGCTGCGCGCCCATAGGTCATTGTTCGTGCCGTTTCCCTCACACAGAAAGATCGCGGGGGTTGCAGCTTGGCCAGGCTGCACAAGGGCAGCAGACTCTTTTGCTCAGGCCTTTTTGTAACCCTATCGGGACTCGGGCTTTTTTTTGGGGTCGTTTTGCCGGGGGCGCGGCATCTAGAATGTTCGAATACAAGTACATAGTGAGCCTGACCACGGGATTCGCTCGACTACCCACCAAATGACAAAGGGGCGGGATGACAAGCGGGAGGAGGAGTGGAAGGAGGAGGGGGGGGGAGGACGAAGAGTGGGAGGAGCAGGAGCAAGAAATATGGTCAAGTATCTTACCATGTTCTAGCGGAAGATTCAACTACATAAAGTTCTCTCTCTCTCTTGACTACATAAAGTTCTCCTCTTGCTCTTTGCCGGCCCCTCCCCCTCCTCTTTGCTCTTCATCTTTCCTCCATCCTTTCCTCTCTTCCCCGCCGCTGGGCCACGGCACCACCGTGGGGGATCCGCTTGTTTCCTTAAGGAGTATAGAGAAAAATAACATAAATAAACTGCTGATAAATAAGGTCTAATAATAAAAGAAGAAAGCAGTACCGGGACTCAATCAAACTGCAATTCAACATGTCAAATTTGGGTTTAAATACCTAACAAATAATAAAAGAATTAATATGCTTGTCTCAGCTGTGTGTATGTTTCGATTCTGAGAAAACTCTCGAGTCCAGATAACACCTTAAAAAAAAAACAAAAAACAGCATACCCACTATCACCCAGCCATACACGGCGACCACATTCATGAGAGACATTCAAGACGACGGGAAATATGACAGAGAATGAAAGAGAAAGACAACGATGGAAGCAGTGAGGAGGACCGACCATAAGCCCTGTTTTTTGTTACGGAAAAGAACCAAAAAAAAAACAGGAGGGAGTAGGCCCAGGTAGGGGTGGAGAAAAAAAAAAAAACAAGGAGGGAGTAAGCAGAAGATGTGTGGCCATGGTAGGTGGATGAGGAGTCGGTTTAGTAGTTCTTTTACCCTCTTCCTTCTTTCGTAATCGTCTCGCTTCTTCATTAGGATATACTGCCCATTTTCCAAAGCCGCTGATAGCCTCGCTTGTGCCCGCGCGCGTTGCTCCAGATTAGCCAGCTGCTTCTGCCTTTTCCTTTCTTCCATGATTTCCTGCCTTTCGTGGTCCTTCCTGTCCATCTCCTCTTGTCTTCTTCGCAAAGACTAGCTCAAAAAAAATCAACAGTGTCAGTGAAGCCAAGCAAACATATGAGAACTTGAAAACTCCTCAGATATGATTTCATTAAAATATCCTTAATTAAAAAAAAAAAAAAAAAAAAACCTCCGTCATCAATTCTGCATGCAACCAAGTTAAAATGTCGATTCAAGTTGATTCAATAGGATTTACTATCATTTTACCAATTAAATAATCAAAAGTTATTAAAGCCTAAAGGGATTATTATGAACCCTTAAGGGGGCTTAAACCCATTCTTCAAGGGCCGTAAAACCCTTTCCAGGGCTTTGAATCTCCGGTACCTCACTCCGGCAAAAACTCGAGAGTCGAAATCGAGCGAATCCAAAATTTCAGAAGCTAGGGGCTTGACGGACCAATGCGGCTGGCAGCGCCAGCCAAAGGGGGGAGAAAAACCGTGCTGGTGATATGACAAAGCTTGGTGCACAGGGGGAGGAATCCACCTCGGCAAAGGGAGGTGCTTAAAAGGGCATGCAGGGTACTGGCGGTTTAAGCCCTAAAAAGTTAAAAGGGCCTTGAAAGGCTTAAAACCCTCAAAGGGCCTTAGACCCTTAAACGGTCAAACGAGGAAATCCCTCATTTGCAATAAGTCCAGGAGGTGGGCTTGTGCCTGGATGTTGGGATCCAGGCCCAGTGTGACAACATCCAGACCCTGTAGGCCATATACACAGATCGAACAGGAACAGTAAACCTAACCATTGCCAACTTAGCATTTTTTAATTTATTTATAATCTGTTACACATAACCATTGCCAACTTAACATTTTTTAATTTATTTATAATCGGTTACACAATACATATCAATGATTGGCAGATTCAAGTTGGTAAAGCAGATTTCTCAGCTCTCTCTCTCTCTCTCTCTCTCTCTCTCTCTCTCTCTCTCTCTCTCTCTCTCTCTCTCTCTCTCTCTCTCTCTCTCT